GCAAGCCAACACCCAAAGAACTACTCAATAGAGATCAAAACTCGATCCAAAATCCTAAAAACTCTGTGACCGGCTATCAAGATATGGACTAAAGACAAAGCCTTATCTAGGAAGTCACCGTTGGACTAGCACCAGCGAAGCTGCCTCCAGGCCCCCCAAACAAACGACGACAACTTGGCGCCGCCACCGCCAGTCGCAGCCCTTGTTGGCCCAAACACCACGACCGAAACAAGGGCTGAGAGACAGAGCCGCATAGCAGCAAACAACAAGCTTCAACCGCCAGGCAATCAAACACCCACCGCCGCCGCCACAAAGCCGCCTGACGACCACAACAGATGCATCCGCTATGTACATACTAATTTGTACATAATGATGTACATACACTTACATAAATGGTTACATCTAAATAAAATATTCAAGACTTGAAGTGGAACCTATTATGAGAGTATATAAATCTCTTTGTTAAGTTTTTATTTACAAGTAAATTATCCTTTGAGTTTCTCCGAAACGATGTAAAAAAAAATTACGTGGAGATTATTGTGAAAGTTTTTTCCTAGTGTTTTTTAACATAAAAAACACATCGTTAATCTCATGTCATGTCGTGAATGAGTAAGAATTAATTTGCTCTTTTGAAATCAACCAAACATACAATCTCACTCTACTTTTCACGGAGGATACACTATAAATTCCGATCAACATTCGTTTAGTTTAATTGATCGGGATAAAATAATGGGTATTAGCTTGTTAGTCCATTGTTGTATGAATTATTGTACTTATAGATTGTTGTAGCAATCAACTTGCCAGAACCGTCGTAATTTAGCATGTGAATATTTTTTATTACCTTACTAAAAAGTAAAAACAAATGATATTTGATTATCAAAGAAAACAAATGATATTTCTTTCTTCTTTCTTCTTCAGAAAACAAATGATATTTGATTTTGAATTACTGCTTGATAAATAGACCAATTAAACTAGCAAATTATACATTTTGTAGAAATATGATCGATAAATAGACCACTTAACTAGCAAATTAAAGTTATACATTTTGTATAGATATGATCGTAGATATAACTTGATACAAAAAATGATTGTTAAAAAAAAAAACATAAAAATGATATGGATGTATAAAATATTTTTTCTAGAACTCCATATAAAATTAAAGAAAAAAAATGTATATATATATATATATATATATAGATATACATTCCCTTTGTGATAAGAAAATCATACTTTAAAATATATTACAGTTCGTAGTCAGTTAAAGAATAATACTTCCTCCTATTTTTTTTTAATGTCATTATAACCTTTTCAACTATTTGCCAAATAAATATCGTTTTAGATCTTTTGTACACATTTTTCATTATTACTCTCATTTAGCTAATAAATACATTACGTCTTTTCATATTCACTCTTCATTTTTTCTCAAAACATTCATCTCTATCTTCATTAAATAAGGTTTATTATTGGCAAAAAAAATATTATTAATTAGTGTGCAACTTCTCAAAACGACATATATTAAAAATTAAAAATAGGAGCTAGTATAGTTTATAATTAAGAAGGATAAAAAAAGTACAAAAAAAAAACAAAAACAAAAAAAAAATCATTACCATTACAGTTACTGTCTCCGGCTTTATCAGTAATACAATTATTAAAGGTAATTGACAATCTTTACCGAGCTTCATAAGTACATTGGAGCGTGAATACTTTATATTAACTTTCACAATGACTTTGTATAATTATTTCACATAACTAATGCATCTTTGTTGAAAAAATAGGAAGAAGAATGGCTTTCTAAAGTCAAAAAATATGAAACATCACCAAAAAATTAGACAACCACCTGGAATTCTTAATAATGTGCCAACCATTCTGTCGTCAGTAGCTAAGGAAGGGGTAGTGGGTAGGGGTATGTGAGTATATCATGAGCTTGGCAATAGTTGAACCAAGCAACCTCAAGTAAAACCACAAATTCTTCTATGAGGCAGCCTAATCGTTATTTATTTTGTTTTGCAACGCTAACAACTTGCCTCAATAGCATAATAATCATGCAGCCATTCAAAACGATCGCATGTTTTCCACATATCTATACACCCATCACACCAAGGGCAAACAAACAGAAGGAATTAAGAACACGAACCAATATGGTAGAACTAGACGAGCAAAGTAGATAGATCCGATTGATACTAACCAAGATGCTCGATATATTATTCTCTAAAGCTCATAGAAATGGTCAAGTACAATACAACTACAAAACCGACACTACTAGTAAGTTCCATAATGGATCGCAATGGTGAAGAAAAAAAAAAAGATGAAAATCGAAAGGGATCCAATTTATTAAAACAGCACGCAAGTTTTAACTCACACCAACTCACCAACGGGAGATTTACACGCATCACAACCCAAGAGCGTGAAGCATGATTGCATTTTGTGCATGCATCCTGTTTTCAGCCTGTGGGAAGACAATAGAGTTTGGGGCTTCGATAACGCCATCGGTAACTTCAGTACCCCTCTCAGCGGGTAAACAATGCATGAAATAGGCTTTTGGACCAGCCAGCTTCATTAGCTCCTCATCCACCTACAAATAATTTGTTCCAGAATGATTTAGAAAATCTGAGATAAGATATGGTACCACAAAAGTGTTCGAGGTTACGACTTCGAAAAATGCATTTTCCAGGGGAAAAAAAAAGGTCAGGCCTTCCTATCCCCCTCCCTTTATCATTGTTCAATCAAATTCTCGCATCAATAAAATAAAAAAAAAAATGACTAGAAGGATGAGATAAAACAAACAGTCAGTCAAAGGCAAATGCTCAACATAAATAAATGGACAACTTTTATATTAAACTACTGCAATTATAGCCCATATTTTGGCAGCTTGCTACTTGTATTTTTTAAGGAAACTCAGCAAGAGTTAGTGAAGATAGGCCTAGCAAGTGAGGGCGTGCTTGGATACACACATATCCGCTCAAAACAAGTTTATTCGGTTAAGTAGAGTTGATTTTGAATTGGAAAATATGGTATGACTAGTTGTTAGTGGTATTTTGAGTTTTATCTTAAAATAATATTTAAAATAAAATAATTAAAGTTGATTTGATGAAAAAATAGGAGAGAAATAATGTGAAGTGATAGTTAGTTAAAATTATGTGAGTGGGTGAATAATGAATTAAAGTTGATGTGATCTGTAAAAATGATGTATTGTTATTATTTAATTATATTGATAATATTAAGGATAGTGAAGTTGGGTTAAAGTTGAGTTGGATTATGAATATGGATTGAGTATGAATTGAGTTACTTTATAAACAAACACACCCTAAGATAACAATAAAATACAAAAATATGTTTCCAATAAGCAAATTATCTATTAAGAATAAAACTCATATAGAACATGTCAATGTCCCACTCGGATTAACTTATTTTGTGAGATTATCACGTATCTAAGACTATAAGGTTCTATACCTGGAATCCCTGAAAAACTGTACGGCGGTATTCAGCTTCTTCCTTCTGTCCCATGCTTGCCCAAACATCTGAGTAGACAACATCAGCTCCCCTCACAGCTTCTTTTGGGTCATTAGTTATCTCTATCTTGCTGACTCCAGCCTTTATTGCCCTTTTGGCTGTCCTTACATCAGGTTCGAAACCTTTAGGACAGGCACAAACGAAGTGGAAAGGGATCACAGATGCCAACATCAGCCACGAATGCACAATATTGTTCCCATCTCCAACATATACAACCTGAGTATTTTGTCAACATAAAACCACAAGACAAATCAGACAACTTCAACTCCACAAAACACAATAGATAACATACTTGAGATGGATTTACCTTTGTTCCTTCCAGGTGACCAACATGTTCGATGATCGTAAGTGCATCAGCCATTATTTGACAAGGATGGTTGAAGTCTGTCAAGCCGTTGATCACAGGAACAGTGGCGTACTTAGCAAGATCAACAATGTCCTGCAGAATGAGAATATATATATATAATAAAGAAAGATGTAGTCATGCTTGTAGTTAAATACTCAGTGTAGCCAGTCACTATGTGCCCAGCGAACTGGAAAAAAAAAAAAAAAAAAAAAAAAAAATTCATATGTTCCAACTTCCAACTGTCTCCTTGTTCCAATTAAAAACAACATGAATTGAATGAATAAAATCATATGGGTCTGCGCCTGGAAGAGATGCTGATCAGTCCTTAGATTAATGTATCAGGCAAAAAGGATAGTGAATTCCATATAATTATCAGAAGGAATCAGTTGGCCAAACCATGATCCAGATAATTAGCATTTAGAATAGAGGAACTTAAGTATCATACACAAATTCCATAATATAAATCATGCTGGATATATAAGGAAAAGCAAAATGAAAATCAGATGATAGGTCCATGTTCAATAACATAAATGATGCAAATATAAACGGTTTGTATACAGATGTGAGCATGTGACAGTGATACCAAGAGAAAGGAACACGGTTTTGACTTAAAATGCACGATTATATCATGTCCTCACTTGAAAAACTCACCAGCATACCTGATGTGCAAAAACTCGAGCCATAATGATATCATTATAGCGACACAGAACACGTGCAACATCACGTGTTTCCTCCCTCTTGCCCATCTGAATGTCATTAGGTCCCAGATACAGGGCATGTCCTCCCAGCAAATAAAACCCAGTCTCAAAGGAAACTCTCGTCCTCATGGATGGCTTTGCAAATATCATCGCCATAGTTTTGCCTTTAAATGGGAGATATGTCCTGTCTCCTGATTTAATTAACGCTTTGACCTCCTTGGCTCGATCTAAAATCTTGAAAATTGTGTCCTTGTCAAAATCATTAATGTGAAGAAAATCCTTCAAACCTGCTTCCGCTGAAACATCAACATTTGCAAATTTGCGATAGTTGTGTTAGATAGCCAATCTACTGAAACCACATCAAAGTCATTGGATAGATAGCCAATCTACTGAAACCACATCAAAGTCATTGGATCCTGTAGTTAGAAGCATGCACGCAAACGGTAATGATAGTATAAAACACTACATGTAATGAAAAATGCAAAATAGCTAGTGAAAATCATATTTCCATAAATAAAACATGATTACAATATCCATATGATGTTTCCCTACTCCGAAACTTAAAACAACACTGTGCAAGAGTTCCTCCATCAGTCAAACGAACAATGTACAATTCATTCTAAGAAAAATTAAGAACTTCACACATATGTAGCTACAGAATATGCCCCCAAATCTTTTTCAAACAAAATCTCATCAGAAACGGAACACATTCCTCACTCCCAAGTACTAAACACTAACCAGGCTCAGCCTTATATTAAAGAGTTGTACAAAAGAAATACAAAAGAACAACATTGCTCTTAAGTCGAACCTTAAATTTCGGATTATTAGTAATAGAAATTTGCACATCTAACTGGCCAGTGATTTCAAGGAATCGAAGCATGGTGAGCTCAGTAGAACAATCAATCAGAAATCATACATTATAAAAACCTCGATCGACATACTCAAGGAATAAAGAATGTAGCAAAAAATGCCTGAAATTGAGCAGTAGCTGTAAGATCCCCCATCACCAAATAACAAATTATGAAGATTGAGAAAAAACATTAAGATCCTCAAACCTTTTCCATTAACAGAAGACGCCGGCGCAGAAGAAGCAATCTGGCACGAGATTCGTCGACGGATTGCCGGAGCGGATACCGATACGCCGGAGAATCTGCGAACGTTTCGACCGACCTTCGAAAGCGCGTGCGAGGAGGAGAGAGAAACGGAGTCCGGAGTGGATAGGTGGGAAGAGATAGCCGCCGCCATCGGTTTTCTCGGTGGTGCTGTGCTCGCAGAAGAGTGACTGAGAAATGAGAGTAGGTCAGAAGAGACGTGCAGTAGCCACTTGATAGGAACTTTTTTTTGGGCACACGTGTCCAATTTCCATATTTACTATTGTTTAGATTTTAATCCATTTTGGAAAAAAAAAAAAATAAAAAAAATTATATCAAGAAGTTACTTCCAATTATTCATGCTACATTTTACTCTAGAAAGTCTATGGAGCCATCGGATGGCTTCCTTATGGAGTCATCCATACATTTATGTATTGACACGAGTCCAAAATGCATTTATTGCAGGACACATGTCAATACACCATTTGTAGAAAACTATGAATGGCTTCATAAGCCGAGCCATTCGATGATTCCATAGCAAAACCGTATTTTACTCTATTGTTTTAAATTATTCTTAATATAAAAATGTAATTTAATTACACATTATTTTTCACACCCAAAACTTAATTTTTTTGAAAATATTGGTGGTACTCAAAATAAAATATGCACCTAAAACAAAATCAAACAATATAAGAATCCAAAAAAACTTAATAAAAAATATTTGGAGTCATAAATATTACGCATTAAATATAATCTCAATGTCATGGCCGAACCAGCTCAGTCAATATTGCTTACCATACACGGGCCTTCAACTGGCCCTGGTTTTACTTGAGCCAGTTTTTTCACGATTGAACAACTAGTTTCGATTCCGATAAGATTTAATTTTTTCAATTATTTTTTATTTATATTTTAAAATTTGCCGATTCTGAACCATGAACCGCAGCTCCGTGAACCCCTACCCGTATATATACCCGGGCGAGTTCTAGTTCGCATTTACCTGAAACAGTTCCGAACCGGAGCCGGCCCAAAACCGGCAATTGTCCACAGAACTGTGATACTAGTAGTATCACAACTCTAGAACGGGATATGATTCATATTTCTAGAACATTGTTGAAATGTTGCACAACATTGAACTTATTATATTAAATAAATTCCAAGCCAAACTTAACCACATTGCATTTCTATCATAGATAAGAATTAAGAACCGTAACATTAAAACACCAAAAACAAAAGGAGAAGCTCGGTTTATCCTACACTCCCCTTTGCCTCAATACACCTTTCAGTTTCCAGCCTAAACCAAAACCAGAAACTGATATCCCAACATAACCAATCCCAACCCTATTACCCAAGACCCCACCCGACCCGACGCGGACTGCTCCACCCTCACATCATCCACCACGGGCCCGCACAACGAGGTCATGTCATCAGTCCTCGTGTTGTAATAAACGCTGTAGAACGCGACACGTGTCCTCTCCGCTTTAGCCGTGAAATTCACGCCCGCCTCTTGAAACGTCGAGTTCCACACAGGTGTATAGTGCACGCTCTCCGTTTGGTCCCCGGCAAAGGCTATAACGGCAAGGGGCTGCCTGCAAGCATCACCCGCCGGGCCCAACGAGAAGGTCAGCCTGTAACGCTTATTGGGCCTCGTGTCAACCATCTGCGAAATGATCCCTTCCTTACCGGATAATAACTCGATGGCCCGTTTACCGGCGGGTACGGTGAAGTGGTACGAGTCGACATACCGGACGGCCCGGTTGGACTCGACAATCCAGCCCGGGAGGGAAGAGGTCTCGCTGTCGAGATTGGTGGGGAGGAGGACACCGAGAGACTCGTTTCTGAACATCCACGGGCCTTCTTCAAAGTCTCCGTTGACGACAGCATTGCCTATTAAAGGGTGTGCACTAAGCAGTTAGGGAAATTTCGAGCAAGTTTTAGGATAGTGTGTTTGGTAAGCACCATAAGCTAGTTTATAACTTATTTGGTTAACTTATATAAGCTTTCTCTACACAAATAAACTTGGTTTGGCAGGGCGAACTTTTTAAAAAAGCTCGAGTTTATCTCGTAAGCTTCTTTGGGGTAGCTTTTCAAATAGCCCGTTGAATTTTTTATTTGAACTAATTGTACCAAATAATTTTAACATGCCTGCCAGAAGCCAGAAGCCAGAAGCCAGAAGCCATAAGCTATATATATCATGCTAGTTTTACCAAACATACTCTTAGTAGTAGTTTCATGAAAAAGGTTGTGAACAAAGCTCTAGCCAACTTTCAGTGATATTTGACGATGAAGTTGCAGAAAAGGTTATTATCAAAGTCCAGGTCCCTTCTTCAACATGTAACCAAACATAAACATAGGTTTAGTGTGCAAGTTCACAGACATTTCGCGGGTATAATAATATTTGTCTACCAAACACTTCCTCGAAATCCCAATTTAGCTAACCAAACATACGGAAACTTAAGACTTTCTATGGTGAAATTTATAACAATTCTCCGGTTTTAGCTTAAAAAACTCGCATATAAACAAATGCATGCCTCAAATTTGTGGCTCTTCCTGTGATTGGACTACTTAATTTGACTTCCCTTGACAAATAGCTCACTTTATTATCATCAACCAATTGTTGTCTCAGTTCAATTCACCATTCTTCCTTTAAATATCAAGCATCACAACCACCACCACAATCACAGTCACAGTACATGGAAATTTCAGATAACATTAACAAAGCACAATTATTGATCAGTAAAATAACCGAACTAACCTTTGGGCTTATCCGGCACAAACAGCTTCTTGATAGCTACGTCGTCGATGACGGGCCCGCAGGCGGGGTCGTCCTCCATCCCGGTGTTTCGGAAGACCACGCGCGCGTCCTCCGACTGGGCTCTGAACGCCCACGCGTACGAATCCCAGCCCTTGACGCTGTACACGGTCTGCAGATCTATGGCCTGCGACGCGGGGGGGACGGAGACGTTAAGCGATTCGAGCTGGGCGCAGGTGCGGGCGGCGCTGAAGGTCACGGAGTAGGTCGCGCCCTTCTCCACCTTCAGCTCCTGGCTGATCTCGGCGTCGTTGCCCAGGCGCACGGCGTGCTCCCCCTGCGGCACGATGAGGATCATCGCGCCCTGCCGCTGGCCCGCCGACACCAGCTCCACCATGCCGTCGGTTTTCCATCCGGGGACGGTGACGGGACTGTCGGAGATCGAGGCGTCCGCCGGGAAGCCTCCCGAGGGAGGAGTCTCGAAATCGCCATTGACGAGGGAGCCTGCGTAGAAAATCGAAAAACTCAAGTGATGAGGAAAATGGTTCGAATAGGGTTGTGGGCCTTCTGGAACTTGATTAGAGCATTTGGGCTTAATTGTTGGTGGTCTCTACAATCAGGCCCAACTAAAAGTTCTTAAACCAGCTTGAGAAAATTATCAAATTTAATATTTTTAATTAACAAATACACTAACGTTTTTTTCTACTCATTAATTAATTTCTTACTTGAGTTGTTTTTATCAGTGATTTTTTATTGCAATGTTTTTTGGCTTATGACTATTTTACAAATGGCTAATAGATCATGGTTTCAATTTGAATGACCAACTAATATATGATTTATTTATCACATATAGCAAATTAATAGAATGAAATAAGATCATTTACTTGAAAAAAACTAGTATTATTTTTACTTAAAGGTCCCGGTTCTTTATTTTTTTATTTTGGTCCCGCCGGTCTGAGCCGGGCTGGGTCGGGTCGCAGGTCGGACGATGGGCCTCATTATTAAGTTTTTGTTTTTTTAGGGCCGTATCGGCCCGTTGGCCACCTCTAGGATAGGGGCCCATGATTGATAATTTGTTTGGGGTAAGATATATTATCCTTTCACGTGGATATATCGTGTCTATGCCTAGGAATGACAAAATAATAAAAAGACAAACATGGGAAAATTTGGTAAAATTATGGGACCTATTTGCAAATTCAAGAAGCCGCGTTAAGACCAAAACACTTGAGACAATCTACCTTGTTAGTGGGGTGGCATAAGCATTTGCTTCTTAGCTGTAGGGCTCAGTAACCCATGACAATAATTCTCCTGTCCCACACACTCACTATATCATGTGAAATTTCCCATAATTCTTTGAAAATAAAGTACCAAATGCTATGAAAATGGGGATAAAATTCCTACTAATTAATGATTTTTTTTTATTGTTGAATTAACATATATTGTACGAGTAAATAAATCATATTGTTTTAATTATTTTAAATTATTTTAATTATTCATCATCATCATCAACATACCCAGTATATTCCCAACAGGTTGGGGTCTGGGGGGCAGTTGTACGCAGACCTTACCCTTGTAATTATACAAGGAGGCTGTTTCCATAGCGACCCAAGGTGCGTTGCGTCGTTTGATATATTTTTTTCTAGAAACTTCACTAATAGAAGAAGCACTATAATTTAATTGAGTCATTTTGATCTAGTCTAATTGTTTTAAAATAATTATTTTAAATGAATCAGGCCGACCAGAAATCGGAATCGACGATTCATCAAACTGGCCCAGAACACTCAGTTCAACGAACAAGCCCAGAACAACCGATGTACCAAACAAGCCCGTGCACATGTTCGGGTCGACTCAAAGCTCTAGAACCCTTGGCCCATATTCGGTTTTGGCCATGTCTAAGTAGCACCGACATTGATATAGTTTCAACAATAATATTATAACACACGCATATTCAATATTGTCATTGTGCATTAATATAACTTACTCTTAACTATCAACTATGAACTCATTGTCAACAAAGAGTTTTGTTATAGAGTCATCGGATGGCTCGATTTATGGAGTCAACTACACTTATTCATCGATATTGTATTGACACGTGTCCTACAATAAATACAATTTGAACAGGTGTCAACACATTAAGTGGTAGATGACTCCATAAAAAAATCATCCGATGGCTCCATATAATTTTTGGTCAACAAAACCCAACCAAGGAATCTATTTATTTACATCCACACAACATTGTGTTGGACTTTATAGTCACGTATCTATTTCGGTTGAGAGGGTTTTATGTACTTTGACACTCAATATTTGAGACAGAAAGACATTAGCTATTGAGACAATCAATTGATAATGCATACTTTAAGCTGAAATTTCACACTCTAAAAAATAAATATTAACAAAAAAATTTACGACATCTCATCACATATTCACATGAATATGCATTTTTTTTTTTTTTTAAACAGTATAAACCCGACTCAATTGTTTCACACATCAATTTGTAAAAAAAAAAAAAAACAAATGTTCCTAGCTCCATCATTAGAGGACCACTTATACTAAAGGGACATGCTAGCTCTCGTTACGAAACCATTCCTTAGAAATTTGTAGTAAGCGCTAGATCAACTATTTACAAACCCGACGGAATAGTTCCGTAACGTTATAGTAGCATTTTCCTATACTAAATTAAGCCTTTAATACTTGTGTGGGGGCATATAGACAATCAATTACAGTAAAAACATGAGAAGGATTGAGTAAAGCAAAGGCAAAACTCAAATTCAAGCACAGGTTCACACTTTCTCTAGTGAACATACAAAAAAAAAATCAAGAAAACCAAAATCTAATAATAGAAAAATAGAGAGAGAGAGAGAGAGAGAGAGAGAGAGAGAGAGAGAGAGAGAGAGAGAGATTTAGAGGGTCATACCATCTTCAATCAGTGAAGCAGAAGAAGCTGAGCAAGCCAATAGAAGCAGAGAAGCACAAACCCATTTGCATTTTGTTGAGTCCTTCACCATTTTGCTGTCAAATCAAATCCTTCTGCTCTTTCTTTTTCTCTCTCTAAATGTGTGTGTGTGTGAGAGAGAGTGTGAAGTGGGAGTGTGGAGACTAGAGAAGGGGAAAAGGTTAGAGAGAGAAAATTTGAAAGGGGAGGCAGAGTAAACAAACAAGTAAAGTGTGACCCTTTATGCCAGTTTTGAGAAGGGCCCTCGTTTTTTAATTTGTCCTTTTTCTACTCCTTTTTTTGGGTTTTGTTTGGTACATTGGATTAGAATTTAGTTGGTGACCATTGATTAGGCTAATGTACTATTATTGCAAGTATACATATTTTTAGTAGAAATGTTGTACTTTAAAAAAATACTATATATATATATATATATATATATATATATATGTGGGTAGGGCAAGTCGAGTCGAGTTGAGCATTGGCCTTATCGAGCAGGACTGAGTTTTTTTTTTAAGTTGTTCGAGCTCGAGCTCGTCGAGCTCGACTCGATAAAAAATTACAATAGTTCGAGCTCGGCTTGAGCTCGACTCGAAATCAAAATACTCGAGCTCGGCTGAGTTTCGCTGGAAATTTTTTTAGTGGAAATGTAAAATTACAATTAAGCACCTATGCTAATATATATAATAATGGGTATTTTAGTAATTTAGTGTGTATCTCGAGCCGCTCGACAAGGTAAAATATGGGTTCGAGTCGAGTCGAGCTTTGACTCGCGAGCCGCTCGATTCGTTTGCAGCCCTATATGTGAGTATGACATTTGATAGTATAATTATATATGTATTTTATTAAGATAGTATGACACATTAATCTGTCTAACGATTGAACTGTTTTACACAAAAAATCGTGTTTAATTCAGATGCACTCGTTTTTGTGTAAATCATGCTCCACACATGTTAATTGATTTGAATGTTTCACTAAAACTACAAATTTAGGTAGATAGTTTCGTTGAGCTTCAAGCCTTCAAGTGAGAAATATGCTTATTGAGTATTGAGCTCTAAAGTTTTGAAAGAGTTTGTTTTAATTATTATTAACCAATGTTTACAAATTTGTGTTAAACCTTGGGCACCACCACCTCGGTATTCCAAATTTTGTTTACGTAGTTTTTCTAAGCGCTCGTGAGCTCAATTCTTCTCGGTTCGTGAAAGTTCAAATTCAACTTAGCTCGCTTGATAAGCAAGTTGAGCTCAAGCTCACTTAAAGCTCGCCTCAATAATGAATCGAGCTCTGTTTGACTCAAAAAGAGACTTTTTCATGTGATTTTCTGTAGTTTAGCTCATAGTTCGAGACTCGATATATTGATAAACAAATTGAACTAAAACTTAAATTATTATTCATTTACTTAAGGAGTCGAGCAGAGCACGAGCAGGGGCGGATCCAGAAAATTAAATTGGGGGGACCAATTTATTTATTTATTTATTTATTTTTTAACGACATATGCTTAACAATGCAGACATAAAGTAGCAATTTTGGAATTAAAAAAATTGTAATAAAAGAATACATACCTTCAAACTTAGTTTCTACTTGAATTGTGCTCGGCGTTCTTTCAAGTCACGAAACTCATCATTGGCGTTCTTTCAAGTCACGAAACCCATCAATGATTGACTCGGTACTAATAGATCTTGCAATTTCTCGTTCGAAGAAGATAGTCAAAGTGATGGCCATAAATAAAAACCTACATCAGATTTTCACGGATGGCCAAAATGCCCAAAATACTTCCTAACTCCCCTATTTGGACCACTCTATACAATGTGAGATGACTCCAAAATATTTTACAACCTAGCAGCCATGAACCATTTAATTTTCTTTCATTAAGAATATTAATTTTTCAAACTGAGGCTCAAGCAGAAGAGGAAGGGCAAAAAATTCAATTTGATTAAACCCTAAATAGCTCAAATGAACAAATAGATAATATCATAATTCATGAATAAAAGTATAAAACAGTACTTACAAATGTAATTATCCGATCAGATTATTAGAAAAAGACGAATGCTCAAATCTCAATTGATATGTTTTTTTTTTTATTTTTTTTCTTCTTGTTCAGTGCTCCGTCGATACTGTGTAGTGCTCTTTCAGTGCTCCGCAGCTTTGCCTTTTATTTTATATGACTTACTTTAATTGTTTGTTAAATGGTTTAAAGAATAATTAAATAATTTAATATTATATTATATATCCTTAGTTGTTTACTGCTTGTTAAAGCGAAAAGAATCAGAAGTTAGAATATCAATCGGCTTTGACTTTTTCTATATAATATATTATTTTTTTAGTTTATATTAAAAGGAGACTAAACAATTAAATATACATTATTATTATATGCTATATATACATACATAGTACTAAAGGGAAAAAAAAAGTTTGGGGGGGACCATGCCCCCCTAGCATAGCTTTACATCCGCCCCTGAGCACGAGTCCTTATTGCTCGAGTTCCACTCATCTACAACTCTAGTCTCCATGCACTACCCAAAGAATTAAACAAATCTCAAACTCAATAAATAACAATAGGTCCTTCATGATCCCTATTTGGAATTTTATATGCATTGATGAAATTTACTCCGTGTTTTAAGACATCTTGTTTATTTGTCCATTTCTATTGAGGGCTCCACCACCGCATAGTTATTTAGCCACACTATAAATGTACCAAATAATATTGTTTAAATTAAACTTGTGACTTCACAATTTCACAAGCTTAAAGGCCATAAAGATTTCATGAATAAATATTGTTGAAAATAAACTTGTAATACTTCACAAGTTACATGATTAAAGGCCATTAAGATTTCGTAAATAATTAGCATTATAATAGTTATTTTGATTAATTGATTACCATATGAATCAGAATAATTGCTTGATAAATAGTATTTTAAACAATTATTTTATAAACTTACAGTATAATTTTTATTTTTTTATTTTTTTTTAAATCCGCTCCTCTCAGTTGCTAGATGCTCTGTTGAGCTTTTGCATGACTTTTTTCTTAAATTAAAAATCTTCATCAAATAATCTCTTTATCAAATAACATAATCAATAAGTTTGATGAGTGTATTTAATCAGATTATTTAATAACAATAACACTATAATTTAATATGAAATGCAAATAAAAAATTCGTTGCACTTTGGTATGGTTCCAATCTATATATATTGAAAGAGGTTGATGAATAATTAAAAAATAAGAAGTTGACTTTTTGTTTAAATAGTTTGACTTACTTATAAAAGATTTTTTTTATACAAAATTTTAAAATTTTCTTTTATCCTTTTGCAAGAAATTTAGTTTTCAAAATTGTATACTTAAATATTCTATTTTTTGGCTTTTATTGTTTATTTTAATTTTCAAAATTGTATCCCAAAAGTATTCAATGATTTATAATTTATAAATCTCCATTTAATTTAAATTTGTATTTTTATTTATATTAAAAATAGTTATAAATGTAACAAAATTTATTTTAAAAATCGTACTAATACTACATGTTCGACCGACTGGTGTTAACCAGTTATCTAGCAAACATTCTATTAAAGCGAACCAGACTGGTCGATAAACCAGTTCCTGGGACATCCGGTCAGACTGTTCGGTCTGATTCGGTTTTGAAAACAATGGTAAATTATAATTAACGCTATTTATATATTATTATAATACAATCGTAACATTGTTTCCCGTGCATGGGCACGTAACATAAATTGGTAATGACCTGGGCGAAATGTTCTCAATAGTTGGACTGGGCCTAGAACTAACCGGACAGTTAAGAATCTATCAAGAGTCGTGAGCTAGCCCGGCCCAATAGATAAAGGGCCTATTCACCACTTGCTCGGAACCTAGAAAAAAGGCGACTGTTAGCATCACCGTGAGATCGAACTGTGATCGGAAAATGGCAGCTCTCAAGGAGTTACAGCGTGATCTTGAGAACAAGGCCAACGATCTCAACAAGCTTCAGAAAGGTATTAAATCTCTTCAATGGCTTTTAGCTTTTCTTTCGGCTCATTGTTGAAACCCTAACACGCAGTCACACACTCATTGTGTTTTTGGTGCTCGTTCGAACTTAGTATTTGTGTGTTTTATGCTCAGATATATCTAAAAATCATCAAGTCAGAAAGAAATACACTATTCAGCTCGGCGAGAATGAGCTTGTCCTCAAGGTAGATTATTCCCTCGCATTTTCCTTTTCACTAATCTGAATTTGATAGGTTTTGTGGCCTTTTTTTGAGGTAGGTTGTTGATTTTTGTGTTGAATATGTGCTTGGTGATGGAATTTTATTTTAATTTATTTGTTGTTATTTCGTTTTGGTTTTTTTTTTTTTTTTTTTTTTTTTTTTTTTTTTTTTTTTTTTTTTTTTTTTTTTTTTGAAGGAATTGGATCTGTTGAATGAGGATGCGAATGTGTACAAATTAATTGGTCCCGTGCTAGTGAAGCAGGACCTTGCGGAGGCGAATGCTAATGTTCGCAAGCGAATTGAATACATTTCAGCTGAATTGTATGTTCATTTCACTTACCGATCATTGTTTGTAATTGTGGGTACTCTGTGCTATCTTTTTTCGCAAGCGAATTGATTACATTTCAGCTGAATTGTATGTTCGTTTAAATTACTGTTCATTGTTTGTGGGTACATTGTGTCGTCTTGAAAGAAATGCGTATGCTCGTTTATGATTTATGTAAGTAGTTTGTTACTTCTTCGCTTTGATTAGTAGTTGCTTAAATGGTGTCTATGGAACTTATTTACACTCATTTGTTGATATATGCTCGTAACCCTAAGAAACAGGAATTGCAGTAGGCACAAAGTGCGAAAACCTGAATCAGAATTTCAAGTCTATTCTATTTGTGAGGATTTATGAACTATACATTGATTTCGCCCGATTTTAAGGAGGGTGAACAGGAGGCAAATGTGTGTTTTGTAATGTCAAATGGAATTTGTTAACTGTTTTTGTTCTAAACTTACGATATGATACTTTTCTTGTTCCACCAGGAAGCGCTTAGATGGTACTCTTCAGGATTTAGAAGAAAAGCAGAACAGCAAAAAAGAAGCGGTCGGTAA